TGCCCACTGAAGAGACACAGCCTGGCTGAATGGATAAAAAAATATAAGCCAAGTATCTGTGGTCTCTAGGAAACGTATCTAATCCACAAGGACTCATTCACACTCAAGGTGAAGGAATGGAAAATGATATTACAGACAAATGGAAAACAAAAGAAAACTGGTGTAGCCATTCTTATATCAGATAACAGAAACTTTAATAAACAAAAGTAAAGAAAGACAAAGACGGTCACTATATAGTGGTGGAAGGAAAAATTCAACAAGAAGACTTAACAATCCTAAATATTTATGCACCCACATACATAAAGCAAATCCTGCTTGATCTAAACAAAATGACAAACAGCAATGCCATAATAGCCATGGACTTCAACACCCCGCTGACAAAACTAGACAGGTCCTCCAAACAGAAAACAAGCAAAGAAACAATAGACTTAAACAGAATTCTAGAATAAATGTGACTAACAGACATCTACAGAACATTCCACCCAAAGAATACTGAATATATGTTCTTCTCTTCAGCTCAGGGAACTTTCTCTAAAATTGATCACATCCTATGCCACAAAACAGTGCTCAACATATTAAAAAAATAGAAATTATACCATGTATCTTCTCAGACCAAAGTGGAATAAAATTAGAAACCAATTCCAACAGAAACACTGATCTCTACAAAAGTCATGGAAATTAAACAACCTATTGCTGAATGATTATTGGGTCAAGGAGGACATACAAATGGAAATGAAAAGATTCTTTGAACTACATGATAATGGGGACACAAGTTATCAAAATCTATAGGATACAGCAAAAGCAGTCCTGAGAGGAAAACTCATAGCCTTAAATGGCAAATCTAAAACACAGATCACATGAATCAACAATCTAGTGAATTGTCTCAAGGAACTGGAAAAGGAAGAACAAACCAATCCTAAACCCAGCAGAAGAAAAGAAATAAACAAGATCAGAGCATAACTAAATGAAATCGAGAACAGAAGAATTATACAGAAGATTAATCAAACAAAAAGTTGTTCCTTTGAAAAAGTAAGCAAAATTGACAGGCCTCTTGCTAGATTGACCAGAAGTAGAAAGGAAAGGACTTTAATAAGCTCAATTAGAAATGAAAAAGGAGCAGTTACAACTGATATCATGGAAATAGAAAACATCATCTTTGAATACTATAAAAATCTCTAAGCCACAAAACTTGAAAATGTGGAGGAAATGGACAAATTCTTAGAATCACAAAACCTCCCTAGGCTTAATCAGGAAGACACAGAATTCCTGAAAAGACAAATAACAAGCACTGAAATTGAAGCAGCAATAAAAAATCTTCCAACAAAAAAAAGTCCTGGACTAGACGGGTTCACACCCAAATTTTACCAAAGCTATAAAGAAGAACCAGTACGTATACTGCAGAAATTCTTCCACAACATTAAGAAGGATGGAATCCTCCCCAATTCATTTTACGAAGCCAATATCACCTTGATACCAAAGCCAGGAAAACACAACAAAAAAAAGAAAACTACAGACCAATATCCCTGTGAATATAGATGCTGAAATTCTCAATAAAATCTTAGTAAACCAAATTTGACTGCACATCAATAAAATAATTCATCATGACCAGGTGGGCTTCATCCCAGAGATGCAAGAATGTTCAACATACACAAATCTATAAATGTAATTCACAATATACATAAAAGCAAAAACTAAGACCACATGATCCTCTAAATTGATGCAGAAAAGGTATTTGACAAAATCCAGCACCCTTTTATGATAAGAAACTTTAACAAAATAAACATAGATGAGATGTACCTCAAAATTATTAAAGCCATATATGACAAACCCACAGCCAATATCATACTGAATGGGAAAAAACTGAAATCATTCCCACTTAGAACTGGAACCAGACAAGGTTGCACACTATCTCCACTTCTATTCAGCATAGTACTGGAAGTCCTTACCAGAGCAATCAGGCAAGAGAAGGAAAATCAAGGGCATTGAAATGGGGGCAGAAGAGGTCAAACTATCACTCTTTGCTAACAACGTGATCTTATATGTAGAAAACCCCAAACATTAAACCAAGAAACTCCTGGAATTGATAAATGAATTCAGCAAAGTCTCAGGATACAAAATCAATGCACACAAATCAGTAGCTTTCATATACACCAATAACATTCAAGCTGAGAATCAAAGATGAAATACCTTTCACAATAGCATTAAAGAAAATAAAATATTTAGGAATATATTTAACTAAGAAGGTGAGAGACCTATATAAGGAGAACTACAAAACACTGAGAATAGAAATTGCAGAGGATGTAAACAGATGGAAAACCATACCATGCTCATGGACTGGCAGAATCAATATTTTAAAATGTCTATACTACCCAAAGTGATCTACAGATTCAATGCAATCCCTATTAAAATACTAACATCATTTTTTACAGATCTAGAAAAAATAATTCTATGCTTTGTAGAGAACCAGAGCAGACCCTATACAGCCAAAGCAACCTTAAGCAAAAAGACCAAATTGGGAGGCATCAATCTACCAGACTTCAACGTATACTACAAGGCTATAGTAACAAAAACAGCATGGTCCTGGCACAAGAACAGAGACATAGACCAATGGAACAGGACTGAGAACCCAGATATAAAACCATCTTCATCCTATCATCTAACCTTTGACAAAGCAGACAAGAATATACACTGGGAAAAAGAATCCCATTCAATAAATGGTGCTGGGAAAACTGGATAGCCACATGTAGAAGACTGAAACAGGATCCATATATCTCACCTCTCACAAAAAATCAACTCACAATAGATTACAGATAAACCTAAGGCGTGAAACTATAAGAATTGTAGAAGAAAATGTTAGAAAAACTCTTATAGACATCGGCCTAGACAAAGAATTTATGAAGAAACCCCAAAGGCAATCATAGCAACAACAAAAATAAATAAATGGGACCTGATCAAATTAAAAAGGCTTCTGAACAGCCAAGGAAACTGTCGTTACAGCAAACAGACTACAGAATGGGTGAAAATATTTGGATGCTATACATCCAATAAAGTGTTGATAACAAGAATCTATACAGAACTCAGGAAAATCAGCAAGAAAAAAAATCACGCAATCCCATTAAAAAGTGGGCAAAGGACATGAACAGAAACTTTTTGAAAGATAGACTAATTGCCAATAAACACGAAAAATTGCTCAACATCTCTAATCATCAGGGAAATACAAATCAAAACCACAATGAGATATTGTTTAACTCCAGTGAGATTGGCTTGTTTCAAAAAGTCCCAAAACAACAAATGTTGGTGTGGATGCAGAGAAACAAGAACACTCATAAACTGCAGGTGGGAATACAAATTAGAACAACCTCTATGGAAAGTAATATGGAGATACCTTAAAGATCTAAAAGTAGAACTACCATTTGATCCAGCAATCCCACTACTGGGTATTTACCCAAAGGAAAAAGATATTCTATAAAAAAGACACCTGCACTCAAATGTTTATAGTAGCACAATTCACAATTGCAAAGATGTGGAAACAACCCAAGTACCCATTAATACATGAGTGAATTAATAAAAAGTGGTATATGTATACCACAGAGTACTATTCAGCCATAAAAATAAATGGTGAATACCTCTTGTATTATCCTGAATGGAGTTGGAGCCCATTCTTTGAAATGAAGTATCCCAAGAATGGAAAAACAATTACATGTACTCACTATTAAATTGGTACTAATTGATCAACACTTACATGCACACATGGAAATAACATTCATTGGGTGTCAGGCAGGTGGGAGAGGGGAGGAGGGATGAGTAAATTCACACCTGCTGGGTGCACTGCACATTGGCTGGGGGATGGGTACACTGTAGCTTTGACTCACGCAGTGCAAAGGCAATATATGTAACCAAAGCGTTTGTACCTCTGTAATATTCTGAAATAAAAAAAGAAAAAAAGAAGAATTGGTATAACATTAAAAGTTATTCCACCAAGGAAAAAAAAAGAATATGATAAACACTTCCTATGTACACAGACATTATGAACAAGCTATGAAGTAAGTAAATAAGGGACATAGGTTTCTGATAGTTAGACCAAATACAATTTTTTAAAAAACAGAACTGCTAATATAAAGTTTCTCATAAATTCATTTTATTTCAACAGCAAAAATTCAGTTCCACACCACTGATTGGGATTATGAAGTACAATCCTTTCAACATGAGTATTTGCACCATGCCACAAACAGAAAGGGGCACTAAGGGACTGATCAGGGGTATTTTCTTTTTCTAGCAGGATTATATTTAACTGTAATAAAAACATCTGATCTTACAGAGCAAGATACCTCTTAAAGAGGTATAGCTTATTTTATAATACATAAGTATTCCAAATACATTCATTGTATGAATTGGGGAGGGAAAAGGAATAAGAAGCAACATTTCCTAGACTCCATCCATACCAAGTCCTTCCACTTTACAGAAATTATAATTTATTAGCTGATGCTATTTTAAAATACTATTTCAGTAGTCTTAAATTAGACAAAAAAAAAATCACACATAATGCCTAACCCTGGTGATGTATGTGAAGCCACATCCTTATCTGCCTATGGCTCCTGCTGGAGTCTGTGTCCTGAGAGTCTGAATCCTGTACAGGCCTGAAAAAGCCCCTGAGGCAGCAGCTCTGATCTCTTCATGCTCAATCTAGACAGGTGAAGACCCAAAGTGCTAAGTGCATATTTCAAGCATCTGTTCTGAACATGTTTAAAGCCACAGTAAATTATAAAAGCTACTCTTTGAGAGTGAATATAATCATCAAACTTGGTATTTCACTTCCCCCATCCCCCCAAAAAGTTTTTTGACACTACAGAGAACAGACTCTGATATACATTTTGAAACTCTCACTATAAAATTACTATCCTAAGTCTATCAAAACTTGAGAGTTTGTTTTCCTGAAGTAGGTGAAAGGGTAATCTCCGTTCTTTCCAGGTGACTTTATCTACACCAGGCTTTGTCAAGGCACAGTTATACATCAAAGTCCTTCAGCTCTCCCCAGCTGGCACCTATTTTCACTTTCACTTTCAGTTTCACAGAAAGTTTTATGGCATTTTCCATCTCATTCTTGACAATCTGAGCTACCTACAAAAAGAAAAAAAAAAGAGGTTAACAAACTCTCTTCCCAATCAAACAATGTTTCCGAACCCCCTCACCGAGAAAGTGATAAGCCAGACTAGGACTCGTCATCCAATGGTGCTTAAAATGTTAAATTAGAAAAAATCCAGGCATCTCAAAGTGCTCTTCATTGATGAGCAGGAGATTCTTCTGACAGTTTTGCTGGAATGCTTGGAGCCTGGATACCCTCAGGGCAAGACTCCAAATTCACGTCTAATTTCTCCCAGACAAAAACATCCCTGCATCAGGAATATCCTGAAGAATGAGTATAAAACTGAGCACTCTTAGCTCCTGTTCTGTCTGTAAGTACTCAACATTTCTATAGCCATCCTGGGGCTAGGATAGGGTTCCAAAATCCTCATGCATGGGGAAAAAAAGCTGTCAGCCTGACCCACAGTGTCTTAGCTTCCCACAGAGTGAACACAGCCCTGAAAAGATACCTGAACAACATCCTCTTCTGCCACTTCATATAAGAGTTCATCATGGAGTTGAAGGATGAAGAAGCCTCCTCTGATTGGGCAGAACATCCCCTGCAGTTTTCTCTTTGGTAACAATCCTACCCATGGAAAAAGTAGCAAAACTGATCAGCATGTCACTGTGCCATAGAAAAATGTTTTTAGAGATTTTGAGAAACTGGGAAATTTTAATTAAGAAATTAAAACACATAAAACTTAGAACTGTCAGGAAAATAACTACTTGCCGGTTGCTGCCTATGCTACCTATTAGGCAAACTCAAATCCTTATCAACTTCCTCCCAGAAAGAAGGAGTCTAACAAAGAAGTCAGTAAATGGGGTATGAAGAACTCTGCTCCAAACTCTAGTCTAACTTATTTCTCATAACAACCAACATTTTCTCTGTCTATGGAGTCCCCTATTACCATCCGAGTAAGAGCACCAGAGTGGTGTGGGGCCCAATTCCTGCCCCAGGAAAGTGAACTAGTATTGTTAGGAAGTTTTTATAAGGGGACACTCCCTGATGTCTTTTTATGGCTAAAAGTGTCACTATGGTAGAACTGGTGCTCCCCCAATTGGACTGTACACTCTGGATAAGTAATTGTAAAACTAGGGTCCAAATGTGGACCTCAGAGAGTGTGTAAATCCCTTGAAGTTATATGTAAGAGTCTAAGTCTGTGTGTTTTTCTGTGGAGATGATCCATACCTTTCAGCAGACTCTCAAAAGAACCCATGACTCCAAAATGTACTAGATTTAGTTACCATTTCCTAACTAGCTGGCCTAGTGGTACAGATCATGTCCCTCTGATCACTAAGATAAGGCTCAGCATGACACCTTTAGAGTAGCTGCCTTTACTTCTTTGTCCCTTCCTCACAGCAGTCCTTGCTTTCTGCCATTCAAATTCCCTACTTATCTTTCAGGCCCAGCACAAGTACCATCTCCCTCAATATCTGGTGCTTTCCTCAGAGAGAGTTCTGTAACTGTCACCATCTGCAGCCCACGTTTGCTCAGAGGTGGCCCTCACAGGGTAAGGGAACAAAGGCAGCTAAGGCTGTAGCAAACTGCTTCCGCACCAGAGCTACAAAAGCTGTCCATCTGTTTGCCAGTTCAGCTGAAATCTGATCTGCCCCATTAAATCCCCACTTAGCTCACATCATCAACAGTCTGGATGCTTTAGTTTTTCTGCTTTCCAGTTACCATACTTTGTGCTCTCGATTTCCCCTGGTTACCTTGCTTCTGACCCAGAATGCTGCGATCCTCTTACTTCAGGTGGTCTGCATCCTTAGGCTCCCTTGGATCCCACTGACCTACTACCTTTAACCCAGCACGACAGCATGAAGTCACGCTCAGTGACATCTCCATACTGCCTTCCATTCACTCTTGAAGTTGTTATTGTCTATATCCTCATTTTGACACTTACCACTCTCCTTTGAGGAGCTAATATAAATATTTCAGTAAGGAATATATTTCTCGCCTTTCTTAAGTAGATTTTAAATTTAAACATAGGTTAATAACTTTTACTTCTAAATCCCCCAAAGCACACAGCACAGTGTTATTTCCCAAATAAATCTGATTGTACATTCTCTTTATAAATATAAATGTGTGTCTGTGTGCGTCTGTACACACCCATATCCCCATATACAAAATGTTGAATGAACAGCCCCAGATATTTTGAGGGGGATTGAAGACTAAAAAATTAATGATCCTCATTTAATGAGCAAATAAACTTTTGTATCTATGTATTTTTGTATGTAAGTGAACAACTTTGTGTAACTAGCTGTATTATTCTCTAAACTCTACATGTATATCTCTCCTAGAAATAGCAACTCCCATCCTCAACAGCTGATCTCCACCTTTCTGCCCCATCTCCAGGAGCTTGTTCTTCCTCTGTGTGCCCCAAGCTTTCTTAGCTTCTTCCCAGGGACATTTAAAATATGGCTGTCATCATGGTTTGACAATCTCAGCGATGGTGAAATGGTATTTAAAGCAGAAGTATGGACATGTCACAGAAGAGAAGAAGGGAAAGTTCTCTGTACTTGTTAGAACAAAACATAATTTATCCACTCAACAAGGCGATAACTTAAGGAAAATATTTTAAAAATAGAATAAGAAAAGATGGCAATATCAGCAAAGGAACGATGTGTTAAGGTGAACTCAGAATATATCCCCAGACTTCAGAGAACACTGACAGTAATAAATAGGAAAATCAACATGTTCTTAAAGCATAGTCAGAGGATCATCAAATCTGCAAAGTCAAAATTACTTTCACAATAACAGTATGAGCTTATTCGCCTTTTTCAGCCTCATTCTTGTAAGTGTACAGCAAGGCGGCCAACTGTCTGGTTTTAGAACTGAAATTCCCACATCCTGGGAAACCTATCAGTCTCCTACAAACTGGGATATGTATCATCCTAGACTGTACAAAGGGTTTTCCAGAGGTTGTAGGACATGTGATACTGTAACAGATTGAATGCAGAA